AAATGGTGTCAATGACCACAGTTGTGACTTATTTGAGGATGCTGGGAGTCATGCATGACCACACTCTCTTCCCTGTCCCTACAGCTAGCAAGAACTTCTGACTGCACGCCCTGGCCTTCTTCACACCCATCCAGTGCTCACCTGCCATCACTATCTTTTACCTGGACTGCCCAAAAACTTCTCTTAAAGACTGACCAGAACAATATTTCTTCCTTAGTGTACTCTACATCCATTGAGGCCAGTGACATTTTAGAAGAGCAGTAGTACTGACGTGGTTAATGCCTCCTACTGTTAATTAAAATAATAAGAGAAAATATTGGGTTGACATATCAAAACAACGAATTCCATGACACCTACTGTTGATAAGGATGTAATGTATATGTTTAAATATTCTTGGAGGACAGGTGTATTGTATTTGTTCATATATATATATATATGTATATATATATATATACATATATATATATGTATATATATATATATACATATATATATATATACCTTAACAATCACATTCCTAAGAACCTACTTCATAGAAGTAAAAGGCCTAGCACACACAGTTGTTTGTCAAACCTCATTCTTTGTAGCCAAAGCTGGAAGCAAACTGACTATCAAAAGTGCAAAGTTTTAACAGTGATGGTTACACCCATTATCATAATACCACGGAAGACAGCTGAGCACTCCAATTATTAAGAGGGCAGAAGAGGTTCAGAGCTGTGTGTGTTACTGTTGCTATGAAATAAACTGTAATGGTTCATCTTGATTGACTGGCTTGAAAGATACCTAGGAGATCAGTAAAGCAAACTTCTAAGCGTCTGTGAGGATGTCCCAGAGATGATTAGGTCAGGAGCTGTCTGACTTAATCAATAATTTAGACCACTAGTAGATTCAAAATTTGCTCAGATTATGGAGAAGTAGAATTATAGAAAGCTGGGTTTCATTGGATGAAGTGAAGTCACTAGGAGTATGACACTAAGGGGTATATCTTGGCTCTGGATCTTTCCTGTTACTTTCTCCTCTGCTTTCTGGCTGCCATGAAGTGAGCATTTGTTTCCCCACACCCTTTCCACTATGATTCTCTGCCTCACCTCCAGAAACATGGGGTCAAATGACCATGTATCGAAACCTCCGAAAGTGTGAGCTAAAATAAGTCCTCTCCCTCCTCTGCTAGTCTTCTTGTTCCCTGTTCAGTGATGTAAAGTTCATTAACACACACACACACACACACACACACACACACACATGAGAGAGCAAGAGAGCTGTTGTTGTGTATTCATAAATAAGAAGCCATGAATTCAAATATAAATATATGAGCCTGGAAAAATACAGAAAAATGCAAACAAAACTGTAACATGGTTTGCCTTAAGGACAGGAGTGGGCCAACAGGCAAGAAAGGTGTGTCGGGTTGAGATAAAAGTCCTACGAATGACCTAGGCATGAATGGGTTCTTTTGAATGCTTTTTATGAATATTTATGTGCATGTACAAATAAGAAAATAGGAGGAAAATAGATTTAAAGTTTATTTAAAGGGGGAGAGAGCTAACTGTACAAAGTATTTACTAGTTCATTTTATTTTGGAAAGAAATCTCTCCTATATATATGGTCATTTATATGAATACAAACAAGAACAATAGAAAATGGTTAGATCTGATTTTAACAGTGAAGAAGCAGAGTGGGCAGGAGATGATTAACTGTCTTTATTCACCTATTTTTTTTCTGTTGTTTCTATAAGGATATTTTACTTTATTTTATAAGCTGAAAACCAACAATAAGGATAGTTTTTAAGCTCCCCTCTTTGCTCTCACCCTTCCTCTTCCTCTGCCCTTCTGCTTCCATCACCACTAACATAAAAAGGTAGGATGAATATAGCCCTCTGGCTTCACAGCCTGTTCCTGCCACTTTCCCATGCCTACTTGGGTCGGTCGCCTCCTGGGTATTCCTGTTTTCTTCAAAGAGACTTGATTTCTTTTTTTATGGGCGTTTTGAACATGTGATTTCTTCTTTTTGAAACATTTCCCTCCCCTATGCCTTGGCCTAATCTCCAAACTCACCTGGCTATTTCCTCAGGTCCTACTACACTTCCTATGTCCCCACAGGGCTGGTGGCCTTCTTCTGTGCCCTCCCAGCATGCCTTGCTTCTCTCTTGGTGTCACAGTGACATGGTTAGTGTCTGCCTTTCTCAGTATTTGGTAGACTTCAAGGGTAACACCACAGTCTGTTTTCATTAACGTCTCTCTGGATTCTAGCATGCAGACACACACAGTAAGCACTGCACATAGACGGACTTAAGAAGTGAACTGCTTCCATGCACAGCTAACTGGCCCACAGTAGTCTAGAAGGAAGAAGAATCATGGGACAGACTGTCAAATCAATCTGCGTGTAGACTGGGGCTGTACCATATTAGCTGCCTGACCTTGGGAAATGAACGTAATGCCACCTATTGTGAGGGTTACAGTACCTGGACCACAGCAATGTTTAATAAACGGCAACAATTCCTATTGCAGGGTTCTCTTTAAATCTGAATTAAAAAGTTATACAAACCCATGGATTAACTGAGGTGAGAAGACCCCGTGGATGGCATCATTCCACCGTCTAGGGCCCCACACTGAATAAAAAGGAGAAGGCAAGCTCTTTCTCTGCCTCGTGACTGCACGTGCCATGTCACCACCACACCACTTTCCCTGCTGTGATCTGCATCCCCTTAAACCGGAAGCCAAAACGAACCTTTCCTACATTAGGCTGCTTCTGTCAGGCATTTGAGCACAGCCACCAGAGTGGAGCGACTAACAGCCCTCCTCTGGCCTCGGCGGCGTCTGCCTGCTCCTTTCACTTGTACGGGCTCACTGAGATGACACCGGCCCACCCAGACATTCAGGATAACCTCCCCATTTGAACATTTGAAATTTAATTATACTGATAAGTGCATCTGACTACACAAGGCAATGCATTCACAGGTTCTGGGGATTATGGTGAGACATCTCTGGGAACCAACAACATTCTGCCTACCATGATGATGTTAAGCTTCATTTGATCAGTCAATCATTTCATTTCTTTGTATTAAAAATACTTATTAGAAGGTTTCGATGCTTTTTACTAACAGATTTGTAAGAGGAGGATGTCATATTTTGGTTTGGGCACAAGCCTATAGGTAGGTGTTACTCTGTTTATGTACTTGTGATCGCTTAACTATCAAATATATAAAATATGTACACACTGATACTCTTATTTGAAATACTTGGGACTACAAGTATTTTAGATTTTTCTCTCACAGTTTGGACTATTTGCTCATATATGATTCAAATGTAAACATGTTCCATATATGCCTTACATACATAGCCTAGAGGTAATTATATACAGTATTTTTTAGTGTAACTGTATTCTGACTATGACCAGTCACATAATGTCCTATGTGGAATTTTCTATTGTGGCACCATGGCACTCAAAAGGCTTTAGGTTTGGGGACAAGAGAGATGGCAAGGGTTAAATGTTCATACTGCTCTTGCAGAGGACCAGAGTTTGATTCCCAGCACCCATGTTAGACAGCTTACAACCCTCTGCAACTCCAACTCCGGGGGATCTGATGCCCTCTTCCGGGCTCCACTAACACCTGTGCTCCTGTGCACATACACACAGAAGACACTCACATATACATTAAAAAAAGCTTCAGGTTTCCAGATTAGGGATACGCAAACTGTTAAAACTTCTTGTTTGTGAATGAGAAAACTTGTAGTCTAATGTTTTTTTTTCAGTTTTACAATTTATGGTGCTACAAAAAGGGAGACACCTTTGAACCCCATCAGGCTTGTATTAATCTTAAAATTTTAAGTTACTCTGAGAGAAAAAAATGAGATAGTCCTATTTATGTGTTGATGAAATTGGCTTCTCCTACCTAAATATAAAACTGGGATTCAGCCCAGTCATATACCTCACTAAGATAATTTATAATCTTGACTCGCTTTAGACACATTGTTATCCAGTCTAGCCAAGTGTTATCTGGAGAGGTTATTTACTACGGTCAATACAGAAACTTCTGAACGAGATTAGACTAAGGACTTTGTAGTACAGAGGCAGACTGGCCTAAAGACATTCACTCTTTGGACACGGTTACATAGTCACTTACCAGCAAGTTTGGCTAATGGCATTCCCCAAGATATGCTCATTTATAAGGGTATCATGGCAGGTAACCATACTTATGGTAAGGGTCTCATGTACTCTGGGTTGTAAGTAGCTACGTTCATGAAATGTTTTACTACGGTTTCTGGTACACTGATCTATTAGTCAACACATTATTTCAACATAAAAAATGAACTAACGATAAGAAAAATTCACCTATCCTACTGTTTCTACCTCTGATGAGCTAGGATAACAGGTTTGTGCCAGGCCTGGCCAAGAGTTACAAGTGTTCAATCACCACTTCAATTTACATTGAGAGCTTCCTGTGTGGCGGGCAAGGTCCAAAGTGAACAAAAGGTGCAGAGATCCCTGCTTCCATGAAGCGCTCACTCTTATGCCCGGCTATTCCTAAATTTGAAGCTCATAGAAAGAACTTTTAAGAGCACTATAAACTCTGTGGTTTTTTTTACATATACAGGGCTGAATACTGTAAATATTCACTAGAGTAACAATATGTTTTGTGGTCCTGCATGGAAAGGTAACCTAATTCCACCCAGACTGGTGTGAAAAGGGCTTTATGTGGGCTGGCTCTTTCATTTGGCACACGCGATCCGTGTACCACTTCTCTGTACTTCACCTGTCTGCATGATGAAACCAACTTGGCAGAACTGTGGATTAATGTGTATGAGAATGCCCCCTCACCCTGTGGTGTTTGGGGGTGGCTGTGTATAACCATTTGTGTACACGTCACGGCTCAGGCCAGCTGTGCGTCTGTGTAACCACATAGTTGTGTTGTTTGGGGGCAGGGGTTTTGACTGCGTGTAGACAAGGGAAAGCAGATGGGATGCAAAGCGGAGACCGGACAGGAATTAACTTTGGTCACTCACGACTGCAACAGGCTGTCCCGGTAGCGGCGGCGCTGGCAAGGCACGGCCCGGGGCCTGCTGGTGTAGGTGTAAGTGCCAGAGGCCTCGGTCGCCCGAGGATTGCGGTCTGTCATCGCCGACGTCATGTCGGGTGTCGAACCACCACCCCTTCGGTGGAGGCGGGCTCTGAGGCAGGTGGGGTTTAAGGAGTCGTGGGAGCCGGAGACGTGTAAATAGTGCCAAGGGCAGGGATGCCGCGACGCGCGAGGACGCGGCTCTCGGGGAAGCGGGCGCGACGCGAGGGGGCCTGCGCAGCAGGGAGCCGCTACTCCAGGCTTGCTCCGGGTAGCGTGGAGCGAGTCCGCCGGGCACGCACCGGTTGCCGAGCAACGCGAGGTTCCGTCCGGAGGCAGGAACTCCAGGCAGTTCCGGCCCGCCGCGTTTCCGGAAGGGCCCGTAGTAAAAGGCACTTCCGGCTCTCGACCCCGCCCACCTGCTGGTCCTCGGGTGCGCCGGCGCACTGGCTGCTTCTTGGCCGGCAGGGCCGCCATGGTCGTGTTGGCGGCGGCCACTGGGGCGGAGGTAACGCCGTCTGGCCCGGCTGCGGGGCGCCGCCTGGCGGGGCTGCTGTCAGCGCCATTCTCGCAGGCCCACGTGCTCTTGCTCTTCCAGGGGCCTCCTCGGTTGTTTCTTCTCTTGCCACGCCGCGGCCGCAGCGCTTCCCGCTGTCCGGGCGGTGACGCGCTCCTGGCGGTCGGGCTCCCAGCTCTGTTACGCGCTGGGGCAGGGGCGGGCTGTCTCCGGTTTCCCAGCTCCTCCTCCGCTCCCTGGTGTGAAGTCGTACCTGCCTTCTGCACTCACCGCTCTGTGCCAGCGTGGTAGAGGACCTTCGGGCCCCCACAGAGCGACTTGGGCCACCCTTTAGACACCTGGGGAAAGGGCTGGGCAAGTTGTTGATTAAACAGGGTTCCCTTAGGCTTTTCATCCTTCAGGCTCCAGGTGCCCACGAGCGGAGCGTTTTAGAATTAGTTTAGAACTAGAGATGTTCAAAATCTTGTTTGTGAAGTGTATGCATCCCTTGTGGTGGATTCCTTGGGTTTGCAGTTACACCTTCAAGGCAGCTAATCGCTGTCTAGGCGTTAATCGAGCTTCTGCAGGGTACCAACCCGGCAACACGTGGGCAAGTTGTACTTTTTGTGCATGCATGCTGTTTTTTTTTTTTTTTCTAACCTGCAAAATGGGAGTAGTAGAATTTATCCTTTTGGATTTGTGGGGATTAAAAGTGTTAATGAAGCTTCAATACTTAGAACTGTACCTTGTAAATGTAATTTACAGTTTAAAGTAGATGGTCACCATTGTATAAGTAGTACGGTTAAAAAAGGTTATAGTAAATGCTATAGACAGAGACTGCTTAAGACTTTCGATCTGACTAATTTTGAGGAAACTTTTGAGAAAGTGACATTGAAGTAAGTGGATGTAATGCTGAGGGTAGCGTCTGGTAAAAAGTACCTTTAGAATGGCTCTGATGGGTCATAGCTTAGAAGCTAAAGCAAGCTTGTTGCTCTGGGTTGGAGCACCAGAACCCACAGTAGGATTGACCCAATTCCTGAAAGTTGTCTGAGCTCTACACATACACCTTATGTACTCACACACTAATCAATGAAAAAGTGGCTGTGATCAAAGGTTCAAAAGTCCGAGCTGTAGAAATCCAGAAGGGTTTGTGTAGAGTTGTAGAACTACTAAAGAATAGTTGGCATTGTTTCATACAAATGGTGGACCAGCATATCAGAATGTTTTCACCCCTCTGGAGCAGAAAACCAAACAGCAAACAGCCGAAACAATAAGGAATAGTTTCACTTAAGTTCAGAGGTAGAGTGATAACCTGGGGTTTCAGTACTCTGTCTTCCAGGAGGAAGGACGTACAGACTGGTTGCTTACATAGGGAAGACTGGGTACTAAGTGGGTAATCAATAGTGTCATCCCAGGCATAGCTGGGATTTATCAATAATATGATAGCTACTCAAAGTTCTGTAAGTTTGTATCCTCAGTCTGGTTCTCTTTATATGACTCCCAGGGCAGTCTCACTTTTTTGGTGATAGTAGCATTTACATATTTGTGATAATAAAATCTTTTGTGTAGAGTCTCTCTCAGTTGACAAGCCCAGATATCTGTGTTCTATATGATTGTCTTGGATGGTCTGAAATGCAATGATTTGGTTGAAGGGTTTTGAGTAACTACTATATGCCAAGCACTGGTCATTGGAAACTAGAGGTATAGAAGTGAAAAACAACAACAACAAAAATTTAACATTCTTGCCTTTGTGTAATCTATATTTTAGGAGATGAATCATAAAAATAAGGCAAGGGAGTAAAATTTGTTTAAGAACTAAGCAGAAAAAGAATCGTGGAAGGCTAGGTCTAAGGAGACAGGGACTTTAGGCTGGTTAGAGAAGGCCCTGGAAGTGACAGAGACAGAGGCATTCCAGCAAAGATGAAAAGGGGGTGAAGTAGTGAAACTTAAGGCTAGCAGAACATTCCAGATCAAGGAAGCAGCAAGAACAGGGTTCTCACATCAGGCGTGTTTGCAGACAAGGCTGAGGAGTATGAGTGGGTGGAGCGGGAGAGAAGAGAGATGACATCAGTAACCAGCTTGTGTGTCCCACGAAAGTCAGTGTGAAAGTTTGGACATTTACTCCAGGCTTAAAAGCCCTGCAGAGTTTTGAGTAGAAATCTGACAATTTGGTTAAAAAGAACCACACTACCCCAGTTTATTCATTGGGAATAGACTGCTGTAAAGTACTGGCAGGCAGACCTGACAAGAGATCCCCACACATCCAGAGATTTACCCACACCCCAAAGATGACTCTTAAGGGGGTATGGGTAAATATTGCACAATGTGCAGGAAAACTTGCCCAAATGCCTCGGCTGACATGATCTTTCTCCGGAGTAATAAATGAATTACTTATTTTGATGCTGAGGATCAAACTCAGGTCCTCAAGTATGCTAGCTAGGCAAGAGCTCTCGGAACTGAAGTACTTTCCCAGCTTAAGCCTTTGATTTTACTGTAGCTGACAGAGGAGGAGAAGATCGCCTTAAAGGAAGGATTCAGACATTGTGAGTCTGAATTTTGTTGTTGTGTTTTTCCTAGTTGCGGTTACTCTAAAGCATAGGTCTTTCTGTCCTTCCTCAAGAAAGCTAAGGATGTTCATTCAGCAGGTCTTTGTCTTTGGATGAGCTTGAACTATATGCATTTTTTTCCAGCCTTGTGAGATTGTTGGAAGGTCTCTAGCCATTGAGTGGCTTCTTTGTTTCTTGTTTGCTAGTGCCTCTCTAGCATAGAATTCACCAGATAACTCCATTAAAAGCCAAGCAAATGGTCAGGCTCTCCTCACTACACTCTCCACATCTCTGGGCCTTGTCCCTTCAAGTCTTGTCTGTTGGTCTCAACTGTAGTTTTTCTCTCCCTACATTGGAAAGGCTCCTGAAGCCTCCAGGTCATGGCTTTGTGCTTGACTTATGTGCTCTGCACAGAAACTAAGAAAATGCCGAGGAGGGAAAAGAACAGAAAATTGTATACTACTTTCTGTATTTCCATCCTACCTGGGACTCTGGTCCTTTGCATCCTGACCACCACCAACTCTCCAGAACCTTTAAAAAACTTGTATGGTTTTTGTGAGGTTGGATTAAAAAATACTCTGTTTTCTTTTGAACTTTTACAATTATTCCTAAAGAATGATTATTCTGATTGGGAGTCATAGGTAGAGACCACTCAGGTTATGGACCAGAGTGACTGGAAGAGTGAGTTGTCATTTACAGGAAACTCTGGATCAGAGCAGGTTTAGGGGTGGTCACTGGAAACTCAGTCAGGTCATCAAGATAGAGTTGTGCATCTTCATCCAAGTGGGGATGACTAAGCAGATGGTGGGTAGGGATTGGGCCAGGGCAGAGAGAAAGATGCTTGACACAATGGCATATAGATGGTATTTAGAGTTGTAAACCTTGGTAAGATTACTGAAGGAGTGTAGAGAAAGAACAGGGCCCTGAGCTCTTCCAATACAAGTCAGGAGGCAAAGCAGACTGAAAAGGAGTGGCCGAAGAGATGGAAGGACACAAAGTCTGGTTACCTAGGAGTCGGGAGGAAAGTGAAGGAGAGGGAGAAGGACCACAATTTCTAACATCCACAGGTCAAGCAAAGTGAGGACACCAGCAAGAGGGAAAGAGTCTATCCGTGCAGTGAAGGATGAGGAAGCTCAGTTACAGTGGGTTCAGAAGGGAGTGGGAGGCAGGAAGCTGTAACAAGGCAGGCTGACTGTGAAGGAAGAGAAATGGTCCAGGAGACAGAGATGAATTGGACCAAGAGAAAAGTCTCTATTTTTAATGGGAAAATTGGTTTTGTATATGTGTATAGGGATGACTCAATGGGGGTATGGAGGATGTGGACAGGAAGGGAGGAATTGGTGGAAAGATGGCGGTAAGAGATGGGCCCTTTAGCACACGCAGGGTGGATAGCTCTTCCATAGTCAGAGGAGAAAGGTAAGCTATCTAAGCGTGAGTCTGTAACCAAGCCAGCCAACATCATTCTCCCATGGTTTCTGCTCCAAGTTCCTGGTTGGTTTCCTGCTCCAACTTCCCTCAATGATGGACTAACCTGTAAGATGACATAAGCCCTTTCCTCCCTAAGTCGCTCTTGGCCATTGTATCTGTCACTGCACCAGAATGAAATTAGAACACTTAGTAAAGGATTAGATGTGGGAATGAGGAGTAGATGGATTTAGGATGGTCACTACATTTTTGGCTTGAAGGAACCCTGAGTTAGTCCCAAGCTGAAAGAAAACTACCTTCTTTTATATAGGAGACATTAAAAACAAAACAAAACTGTTTTAGGAAGAAGTGACTTAAAACAGTCTTTAGTTAAAACATACAGAAAAAGGAACATTAGAGAAATGTATCTGGCAGTTGATAAAAATGTATTCTATGCAGGAGGAAATTTTGGGGCATTTGTCAGTTTTCTGAAGTTTATAGTTCATAACTTGGGTTTTCATCCTAGATAAGCATCTGTGTTTGTGATTTAATTTGTATTTGCAAGCATTTCTTTTTCCTATAGAGAAACTCCAGAATCATGTAAACATTCGGGCCTCAGAACCTCATCCTGGCCTGAAGGAGCCCGGCTTTCAGGTCCATGGTGTTCTGTATGGTGTGGTTCCTTGAATCTGGTGGTAATACCCAGAACTGTAGACATGCAGCTTTTCAGTTTCCTCCAGACCTGAGAAGCAGAGATGATGTTCCGATCATTTCCTTTTGATCTAACCATTTCAGAAATTCTCTCTAGTAAGAGCCAGAGGGAGCACAGATTCACCAGTCAGAGCAAAACCGTGACTCAGAGTGTACAGAATAGCTCCCTTCTTGGGAAGTTTTCAGTATCAAAACATGTTGTGTTTTTAAATGAAAAGTAAAATTTATATCCAGTGGATGGAAATTTCTTATAAGAAGACATAAAACCCCCTGACACTTTCTATTCTTGAAAATGAGAGTTATTTTTGTCAAAGGATCTGAGACCTTTGAATCTTTAAATCTGAACGCATTTAAAAAAAAATTGTAGGTTATGATAGTGCCTGTAATTCTATGATTTCATTCACTGGTACCTTCCTTCCCCTATATGCCACCTCGATACAGCCCCAAACTGTGTGCCACAGTTTAAAAAACACAGGAAGTGTGGGCATGAGGAATGAAAATACTTTAAGAGTTGTGAAATTTTAATTTAAGGCTGTGGGTTTCTTTGTCTTAATACCTGATCAAATGTAAGCTTCATTGATGGGATTGTTCTGTGATTTTAAAAACATTTCAGGCTTGTAAAATAGAACAGGCTTATTACAAAAGGCATATAGAATCAGAATCCAGCCTGGAATATTGCCCCCTTCTCTTCAGGAGCACGTGCAGTGAGGGCTGTGTTGTTAGGTGTTTCACCAATGATTCCAGTTGTTTTTATCAGAGTATTCGTAGCAAAATGCTATAGGATTTTCATCGTGGTTGGAAACGATAAATAGTATGGTATTGCACTCGAATTATATTGTTCCTAAGAATAACTTCATATTATAACTCAGGTGCTTACATCTTTGACAGTTAACATCCACAGGCCTCAGAACACACTGAGATGTATACAGCTGAAATATGTTCCTTCGGGGACTCGTACTGAGAAAGATTGCCCAAAAACTCTTTTAAAGATAGGGACCATTTGTCTGGTCAACAAAACTTGTAGCAGATCCTAGTAGCAAAAAGAATCGTAAGTTGTAAAATTGTGCATCTTGTCCTAGAGAGATCCCCTCTCAAGCTTCTGGGCTGCTGTTTCTAAATCTAGCTGTCCTTCCAAAGCCTTGTCACAGGTGTTGATTTGCATTGACGGGATTCCTTCTGTTACTTGGATTTTTAGACAGGCCGTTTCTAGAATGGTTTCAGGTCTGGTTTGTGGGGACTGATGTCTGACTGTTCATACCCACAGAAGAGAGAACACTGTCTAAATGTCTTGTCGCTCTTGGAGATTAGAGAGATTGTGAGTCAATGTTTGCCGGACATAGAAAACTGCGATGTCTGACTGTTCATACCCACAGAAGAGAGAACACTGTCTAAATGTCTTGTCGCTCTTGGAGATTAGAGAGATTGTGAGTCAATGTTTGCCGGACATAGAAAACTGCTGGGAAAAGTCCTGAAATGGCTAAATGAGGAATTCGGGATGGTCCATCATTAGATCAACTGCCCCACATGCATGAGACCTTAGGTTCAGTTCCCAAAACCATGTTTTTAAAGGACCTAAATGAGCGGAAAGATACATTGTTTTCGTGGAATGGAAGACTCAGCCATTTTAGGGCACCAACTCTCCCAAGTGATATATAAATTCAATGAAACTCCAGTCAGAGTTTCTAGACAGTATACTGAGAATGTAGCTCAGTTGGCAGAGTGCTTGCCTAGTGTACACACAACCCTGGGGTTGATCCCAGCACAGCATACACTGGGTGTGGTGGCACAAGGCTGTGATCCCTGTACTTTGGGAATAAAGACAGGAGGACCAGACGTTCAAAGTCATCCTTGGCTATATCGTGACTTCTGAACTAGCCTGGGCTACAGGGTGCCTTGTCTCAAACAAAACAAGAGAACCTTCCTAGATATTGACAAACAACTGAAAATGCATAAGGATAAAAGGACTTAGAATAGTCAAGGGAAAGAAAAAGCTGTGCCAGTTTCAGGAATTCCTATAAAGTTCCAGTGTTAACACAGTGTAATATAAGCAGGATTGTTACAGGGATCAAAGAAAGAGAATACAGTCCCTAAGGAGATCTGTATCTATAAAGCCAATTGTTGACTTTTGGTGTAAGGGCGGCTGGGACTGAACCCTAGGGCCTTGCTCATGGTAGGCAAATGTTCGTCACTGAATACATCCTCAGCCCTCAGTTTTTGGCAAAGGCACTGAAGCAAGATACAGGGAACACCTTGTTTCCTTTTTTATTGCTGTGATAAGACACCATGGTCAAGGCAACTTAGAAATACTTAATCTGGGACTCACAGTTCCGGAGGATTAGAGTCCATGCTGAACATGGCAGGAAGCACAGCAGCGGGCAGCAGGCAGCAGTCATGGCGCTGGAGCAGTAGCTGAGAGCTTACATCTGATCCACTAATTGGGAATGGTGTGGGCTTTTGAAACCTCAAAGCCCCGCCCCCCCAGTGACATGATAAGTAAATCAACTACATATTGGGACAAAACCTTATGAACCAAAGAATTTGTAGAATACATAAAGTTCCAGAATACCTAAAGTACCTACTGCAGTTTATTACTCATAGATTTAAGTAATAAAAATAGATTTTAAGGAAAATGGGCAAAGGTTTGGATAATTCCTAAATAGACAATAAACACACGAGGAGGTGCTCATCATCGTCCAGTCAATGGAAAATTCAAATGAACCACAATGAGATGCTAGTACACCCCCACTACAGTGGCTAGCTAGAGTAAACTAGCCAACCAAACCAAACTAAGCCAAGCAGACAGCGCCAATAATTCATTGATAACACTGTGCTCCATGATTTGATTGTGGCAGCATTCTCATAGGCATCTACTGGACGTAAATTAACCACACCATGCATTCTGAATAGATGAGGTTTATTGTGTGGTTATACTTCAGTAAAGTTGACCAAAAATAATAAGCCAGTGGAAGAATAAAATCATTTACTGTCTCGATGAAGGACCAAGGATGTACAGGTGCCTAAGCAGTTATTAAAATGCTGTCTCCAGGGCTTGGGGATTTAGCTCAGTGGTAGAGGCCCTGGGTTCGGTCCTCAGCTCTGAAAAAAAGAAAATTAAAGAAAAAAAATGCTGTCTCCATAGTAAACAGCTAGTAGACTTATGTCTCACCCCAAGTTGTTTTCCTTCAAATCAGACCACGGTGGTGTGCACAGAAGGTTGAAACAAAGGAGAGCAAGTATCGAGGAGGAGGAGGAGGAGGAGGAGGAGGAGGAGGAGGAGGAGGAGGAAGAGGAGGAGGGAAGTAAATGTCCTGAGAACCGATCTTTTGCTCTCCAAGTCCCCAGGCTCTCCCCGAACACTGTCGTCAAAATACCACCTCAGAATGCTTAAGACGGGTCTTTATGAACGATTTCAACATTTTAAAATAACTTCTTCATTTCCCTTCTTCTTTCCTAATAGAAGACCATCAATTCGAGTTATATACAGGAGTTATGTATTAAAAGAGAAAGGTCGAATGGTATATATCAATTTGGAATGGGAACCAAGCTCTTTGAATGTATCACTTCCTAACAACTTTTGCAAAAACAGCAAAATTTTTGTTTGTTTAATTTTGGAGTTTTTAAAATTATATAACTAGACTAAAATTAAGAATCAGGTGAATCTAACAATGCACAGAATGCATGGAGTTAATTTTTTTTTTTAGAATTAGCATATGGATCTGTCAACATTTCTTTTAACTAATTACTTTTTTCTCGAGACAAGGTTTCTCTGTGTAACAGCTCTGGTTGTCCTGGAACTCACTCTGTAGACCAGGCTGACCTTGATCTCACAGTGATCCAATTGCCTCTGCCTCCCCAGTGTTGGGATTACAGGCATGCACCACCACCGCCCGGCTCTTAACTAATTACTTTTAACATTTTTGTTTCCTATATATTTTGCATTGAGTTTGCCTAGTTCTTTGGGTGTTTAAAAACTAGATTAATTGAAATTTGATATTTTGGGGTTTGGAGAGATGGTTCAGCAGTTAAGAGCACTTGCTGCTTTTCCAGAAGAGCTGAGTTCAGTTCCCAGCACTTCCATGTTGGGAGGCTCACAAGGGATCAGATGTGCTTGTCTGACCTCCATGGGAGGCATACATTCACACACACATATACATAAAGAGCATTAACAGCAGATCTTTTAATGATTATTATTTAATTTAAAAAAATCTTATAAAAGGAATTTTGATGTTTTTCTCCAAAGGATAGTTTTATCATTTTGAAATTATTTACACGCTAAATTGTTATAGTATTATATTTGATATTTGTTTTGGTTTTGTTTTCTTTTGAGACAGCGTATTTCTATGCAAGCCTTGCTGGCCTGGAATACACTGTGTAGATCAAGATGGCCTTGAACCCACAGAGATCTGCCTGTCTACTTTTTCAGAGCTGGAATGAGAAGTGTGCACTACTACACTAGGCTCTCTTTGATATTTGTATTGAGGTCACCCTGTAAGAAAAGAATAAAAGCGAACTCAAGGGAAGAGTTTGTAATTGTGTGGCTCATCACTCTGCTGTCTAAACAAAGTTAAATAATTCCACCTTTCACACTTTGTGGTGCTGAATGAAGAGCCTGAGTTGTATAAAGTACATTTCTGGAACTTTTCAGGTTAAAATAGCAAAAAGCTACATTGTTTGAGGAATTAAAATTACTTTCCTCTATGAATCTGAATTTGTATAGTTGACTTGACTTTATGAAAATAATGTAACAAGATTATGGTAAATATTCCTGATTTTATGTTCACACAGAAAGCTGACATGTGTTGAAGATCTGTGGGGTTCTGGGTGTGCATCATCTCATTCAGCATCAGAGTAGCCCTGCAGATGAGGATGCAGGCAGAGTGATTAGTAGTGTTGCCAAGGTCATACAGCAAGTGGTAGATTTCAGATGTGATCTCAGGCAGCCTGTCTCGGGCCTGCCCCTGTCCCTGGACTCTGGATCTTTACTGTTTTATGCACACACGCCATGCCTGTGCTCAATCCTATCCCGGCATCAGTTTCCAACAGAAGTGAATGAGACCAAATTTCCCCACATCATCAGCAGCACAGAACACTGAAATTTTTAGATTTGTACTTATTAATTAATGGAAGAATGATCATCTTCCCCTAATTCTACTTTTAAGGTAAGAATGAGTTTAAGGGGTGGAGGTATGGCTCAGTGCTAGAGCAGATATTAGCCTATCATTTCCCTTGTCATTTAATAGGAACTGTATATTATAGACATTTCCTTTTGCTGTTAAGGCACACACCCTCCATCAGTTTTTATTTGGTTTACGGTATTTTACTGATAGTTTTGATTTTTCAGTTTTAACTTGTGTCTTTAGATTTTAAATCATGTTGTAAAGGCCTGTTCTATTCTGAGGCTAAGAAGTTTTTCCTTATTTATTCTAGAACTCTGACTTTCTCACTTCCCATGCTTAGGTCTTCTGCCCTTCTAGAATTCAACCTGGCAGGCACCTGAGATACTGTTCCAGAGTTTTGATCGTTTTCCTCTCCAGCCGTTTATGAATGCCTTTGTGTTTCCCGCTATTTGGACTGTCAGCACCAGGCTGCCCGCCCGCCTTGCCTCTGCTCTAGTCTGTTGGTTGGGGTCTGTTTGAGCTGCCATCCCTCCTGTTTCCTTGGACACGGCTTAAAAGAAGTCAAGGTCACTTTGCTTTCATTTGCCTTTTCTTAAGTTCTCTTGATTGGTGCTGATTGACATTTAAAAGATGATATTTAGATCCGTTCTAGTGAGGAACAAAACCCCAGAAAACAAACAGAAACATCCCGTGTCCTCCTGGCTCTGTTCCCTGCAGATCTAGGGTCACAGGTAGCCACACCCAGATTTTCATGTGAGTGCAGATCTGAACTCAAGTTCTCATGTTTGTGCAACAATCACTTTTGCCCACTGGGCCATCTCTCTGGTCCCCATATTAAACTGTATTCTGTAGCGAACAACATAAAGTGTCTCCGTTTCCATTCAAGTTATTGCTGAAAGTGAATCATTTTCATCTCCAGCAAACCGTGCACACTTTGGCCTCCTCACTATTTCTCCTCTTGCAAATGAAGAGTTTAAAACCACATAATTCAACTAGTGAAGAATCTTCAACTATTTGAGATCCTATCTGATGTGGCTTCCTGCATGGTTGACCATTCAGGAAGAAAGCATACATTGGCAGCTCTCCCAGTGAGATCACAATCAGGTATTTATCTAATTATTCTTTTTAAGTGTGCATTAATATAGACAGTATTGGACATTCCCATCCCCAGCACTGGGAAGCACTGTGGCCATTAGCCATTGCTTGGTATATTAGTGTTGTAAAGCCTAGCTGCTGATTCAACTGCTGTGGGACCTGCCATTGTGCTGTGTGGTTATTGGGTTTAAGTTTTAAGCAATTGTGTTCGCCTCTAGCAAAAATGCCCAAATTTAATAAATTTCCCTAATCCAACATAGCTAGGAAAGATTCAATTTATTTAAGTCCTGGGATGGGGACAGAATGTGTCTTTGGAAATAGTTACAGTATATCGTGTGTCACCTTCCCTCTTTATAGGAGGAGAGAAAATTTCTCAGGAGAAACACAAGGCTGGCCATCTGTGTCAAAGAGGAGCATGGAATGGACCTTGCTAACACCGTGGTCTCCAAATTCCAGTCTCCAGGACCACAGACAATGCATTTCTGCTGTTTAAGCACCGCCTTCCTCCACAAATGAATTAGGAAATCCAATTGGAGAGCACCAGTGGACCCTATGGAAAAAAGTGGGTCCCCTGAGGTATGACATTTGAACCGGTCACTGTGCCTTCTTCTTAGTCAGAGACACCAACAAGAATGACAAACGCTTTCCCAGCAGGAGCCGTAGGAATCTGACAGTGAACTGCACTACAGGGCTTCCAGTCTCACTGTTACTTCTTAAAATATGGGCAGCTAGCCCGGCGTGATAGTGTGTGTCTTTAATCCCAGCACTTGGGAAGCAGAAGCAGGGCTCTCTATGAGGTCAGCTTGGTGTACACAGTGAGTTCCAGGCTAGAGAAACGGTGTCTTAAGTATATATGTAGACGGATATTTGAGGAGGGTTTTCAGGACCTGAGGAAGGGTCACATGGAGGTCGAGTCATTAGTACAGCGGGACTATGTTTAAAACTTCCTGATTTGTCATCCTGGTTAGCCACGGGAGGTGATGATCTGATTCTCATGAGCAAGTCACTAAGAGCCATGCGGCACCGCATTGCTTGTAATCCCAGTGCCTAGCAGGCTAAGGCAGTAAAGTTTCACTTTCTGGTACTGCCTGGGCCACAGGGAAATCCTGTCTCAAATAAATTACACAACATATACACACATATGTGTGTGTATATATATATATATATATATATATATATATATATAAACTCTGTCATTCACCATCTATCTATCTATCTATCTATCTATCTATCTATCTATCTATCTATCTATCTATCTACTTACCTACCTACCTATGTATCTGAGCCTGGTGGAAGATCATTTTATCCTAACACTGAGACTCAGCAAAGTGCCTGGAATGTGGTAGGTACTAAAGTCATACCTCCCTTAGCTTTCAGCTCTGAGAAGGGGTTACCTTTATTCTCTTAACAGTCAGAGGTGGATGGCCTGCCCTTTGATATTGATTTATTATTGGTGCTTAACAGAACATTAAAAAAGATTTTATTTATGTATTATGTTTTGTCTATCTATATGTTCACCATGTGCATGCCTGGAGGCCAGAAGAGGGCATCAAATCTCCTGGAACTGGAATTATAGGTGGTTGTGAGGAGTTATACGGGTGCTGGAAACTGAACCCAGTCTTCTGCAAGAGCATTAAGTGCTGGCTGCTGACCCATCTTTCCAAGTCCTTAATAGAACTCCCTTTTTTTTTTTTTTGTGGACCAGTTTGGTCTCCAACTCAGAGATCCACCTGCCTCTGCCTCTCAAGTTCTGGGATTAAAGGTGTGTGCCACCACTGCCCAGCATAATAGAGCATTTTAAATGTTAATTTTGATCAACAACCCAGTTTACAACATGGCTAACCAAATTCTCAGTAAATCACCTCTGAGGAAGAATCAGATCTTTTTTACTCATTAGCTAGACCAAAATCAGGAGTGTGTACAGTGTCATAAAAATGAACATAATTAGGAAGATTGGAGCCCGGTACTATAAAAAATTTGGATAAATAACTTGGTCATTGAGTAATAAAATTCTAAGATCATAAATATTTATCCTTATGATTGCTAATGACAAAGGAAATTGAACATCATGAAAGTGAGAGACGTAAAGGCACTGGGCAGTCTAATCTATTACAAATGGGAAGCATTACATCTGCCAGATCATCTTGTGTCTTATAGTTTTTTCTGTCCCCCGAATGACTGCTTGCTGAAAAAAGTGTCTCAAATCCCCAGAGAACAGAGACTACATCTCCTGGACACAAGCTCCCCAAGGTGTGTGACAGCCTGAAACAATGAGAATATAGTGAACAGATGCTAGCTGAATGAACCAGATGTGGATAATGTTCTTGATGGATTCTTATTGACTGAGGAAAAAGGGATAACACCAGCAAAGAGTGGACACTCTAAAGGAGGAAGGCAGTTTATTGTAGTGAAACTGCACTGAAGTTTTATACATGACCCCTCAATGAACACAACATCACTTTACTCCACACTGTTGCACAAGACACCACTGAACTGCAGAGGCTCAAAGTGCTCTGCTCGAGTTAATACTGACACAACTCATTTCCACCGCTCCGCCCACATTCCGTTAGATATTGAAAGACCTCCCCCCAGCCTCTGACAGCTCCCACGTGGTGCATAGTGTCTTTCCGTGTACTTCCTTCCACTATGCTAGTTAGTTGTCAGAAGCCTGCTTAGGAAAACCGACTTACATGAGAGGTTCCGACATTTCTACCTACACACAGCTCTTGGAAAATGTGAACACTGGCAAGACATTTGAGGTAACTAAGAAAAGTAAAGATAGTAGAAACATGCACCTGGGGATGAAAACCAGCAATATATAGAGAATACATAAATGCATGCATGCACGGGTGTATGTAGACGACACCCCTTTCATCTAACACCTTGTCTATAGTACATTTTAGACATTTACCACATATTGCACAAACCCAGATATACACACAATCTGACGTGTCGCTGTGTAAGCCATCCTCACAGAGGAGAGCTCTACACAACATTCTGAATGAGCTTATTCATGACTTTTTGGAGAGTAGAATTGATAGTTCTCTGTGCAGAAATATATTCACATACACCACAAGTTAGCCATGGTACAAGGTCTCCTTTCCTAAATGTAGGATTCTTTAGCACACTGGAGTTGGTCAACCTCAAAGACCATGTGTTGTTGCCTGAGACAGTCCAACTTAGCCTCCTGCATGGATTCAGACACGGTCCTCAGTTGGTGCAGCTCAGATCTCCCCCGAGTTTCCACAGAGACACAGACAGTCTGACTCTGTTTCCAGTGCTCAGTCATGGGAGACAATCTGTGTCCACCAGGTGTCCCTTCACTGTGGTCAACTCCAAGGTGAGAAGGCAGAGCTGTGTTCCATTTGAGCATTCTCGCTCTCATACTGGCAACCGTCTGGCCACCGTAGGCTGTGAGTCCAGGTGCCTGGTAATGAATGGCCTCTTCGTACGATGGTGGACTTCCTGGCTTCCTCACATCCACTATTTGGAACACGTTATCAACTGAGAGGGCCCAGGTTCTAGACAAGCTAAAGCCCAGAGTTGTTTGGCTTTGGATTTCTGACTCATTTTCCTGGATGATTCTGCCAGCAAGCTGGCTTTCTTTTCTGAAACCCTTCCTGATTTGGTCTCTAGAAAAGTCTTTGGATTTCTCAGACCCCATGCTGGAGGTCCCGGGCAGCACTTTTTTGTGAGACGTAAAGGAAAATGACATGGAATGCTTTCTAATTTCTCTCTGGGGTTTGATCTTGTCTGTCTTTGTGGTGAAGCTCTGGTGTCTGGTGAAGAAGTTTCTTTTGGGACAGGACGGAGAAGGCAGAGGTGAGCTGTCCAAAGATTTACCTGGGGAGACTCTGGAAAATGCTTTGGGTACCAGTCCCTGTGATGTTGCTACACCTTGGGTCAAGTTCTTTATCTTTAAATCCACTGGTCTCTTGGGCTTGCCTTCAGCTGCCGGGAAGACTTCCTCTGTAAACGGATCTTCAGCCTCATCACCCTCCAAACAAGAGGCTTCCTGGGGCATGGTGAAGTTATCCTCACTCTTGGTTAGCTTTTGTTTTCTCATTTGGCCCATGAGGCACTCTTGTGAGGGTGACATGTTGGGTTCAGAGAACCGCCTATCTTGCTGGCCAATGGAGCTTTTCAGCCTGGCTACCATGCCAGCAATGGGTTCTGAGCTTGACTCACAGGTGTCCTGTGGGCCCCGGTTATCCAGGCCAGCGGGCCCCTCCAGCTGCCTGCTGGGAGAAGTGGTGGCACTCATGGGCTCCACGTCTGGGTCATTGCTGTCGTAAGCTGAGTCATTCTGCAGAGTTGACACATCTGGGAAGAGTTAAGGCAGAGGTGAACATTTTATCTAGGCTCTTTCAGCAACAGTGTTTACTGCAGGCTGCCCTGTTTAGACCTATGGTGATCGCTTCTCGGCCTTTTGGCTAAGATCAAGTGTAGACCTATGGTGATTTGGTGGAAGTGCACTGGGGCTTGATCCGACAATAAATTGATTACATTAAAACTTTGCTTCTGTCTAAAATGATCTTTAAATGGCGAGAAAATGGGAAAATGAAATGGAGGGAGGAGGAAGGGAAAGAGAGACATACGAGGAAGGAAGATGGCAATGGCAATATTCTTTAAGGTTTATTGATCTGAATTCATAGGATTGATCCTTTGGGTAGCTCTTGTATTGGACCAATTTCCATTTTAATGGACTCACATTCTACTGCAGAGCTGGAACTTCCTTATTCCAACCCCATAACTAAAGTTTACTAAGTAGAATTAAGAGTCATTGTGGCTTAGAATAGGAAGGAGAAAATTCCAGATTGATGAGAAAGAACGTAGCGGGAGGAGGTGTTGCGGGTAAATCTAATCACAAGGCCTCATGGTTAACGACTTCCTTACAGACTTCTGACTTGTGAAGGCGAATCCTGCTTCCAGTACCAGGGATGCCTTACATCACTTCCTGGAGCATCGGGGACTGGCATGGGCTTCTCCCCAGAACCACAAGCAAATGACAGAACGTTCCGTACCTGAACTGTCAGTGTGTTCCAGGGAGTCATCAGAAGTGATGCGGGAATGTGTCGGCATGTTCTCCCCAAATATTTCAAAGCAGTTGTCAATGAGGAATTCCACCAATGTCTTAACCTGTGAGGAAAATGTAAGCAGTTTTTCAGCTTAAGTACATTCATAAAAAAGAAAGTAAAAAAGAATGAGAACATATCGGGGTCAACTACTGGGGAAGCGGCAGAAATAGATACTTTTATGTGCCTAAAAAGCACATTGGGATTAGTGGCAATAATACACTTTATTATTTTATGAGGCATGCATTTTTTTTCAAATTTTCAGGATTAAAAAAAATTACTTTGAAGTAACTGAAATTTTCATTTAAGGAAGTAGCTGTCCAGATTTCTACAGGCAGAATGTGATACACAGAAGGAAAAGAACAAAGTGGTTTTTCTAGCCAGGGAGTTAGTGCTGTAAATGTCTGCTACCCTGGCCCATCTCCCAGGACAACAGAGGATGCAAATATTTCACTCTGCAGCAAATATGTGTATGTAAGAGAGTGGGACCATGAGAAACACATCCTGCAGTTGAGATTTTCTCTGTGGGCCCGGAGTCACTTTAAGAAACTCAAATCAGAAGCATTTTAGATGCTTGGCTTTTACAGAGGGTGGGCTCATGACCAGAAAGTTTCTCAGACAGAGGCAGGATGTACCTTATTGTTCAGGTCCTTCTGGGCCTGGAAGGACAGGCTCTGGTCATTCTTCAGAGCAAGCATGTTGGGCCCGATGCAGATGGCTAGGTTGCTGGAGTCCATCTTGTTGACCTCAGCATTCTTGCTGATCAGGTGCAGCACGGAGACCAAGTGCCTGAGCAGTAGAAGGTTGGGCCTGGGGAGGCGATCCGCAACCCTGGAAGAAATTGACAGATGGGGGCTTTCATGTAGCCCTTAGCCTGGCTTCTCAAGAGGTTCTCCCCAAACCGGACTTCCTTTAAAACGAGGAAGGTGCATTTCCAAAAGAAATGTTGTGAAACATTCATTCAGACTCTTGCAGCAGCAGCTGACCTGGGTCGGGGCCAGTAAACCACAAGGTTGTAGCAACTGGGACTCCAATAGTGCCTCTCTTTATTATACACACGGACGCTGACTGTGAAGCAACGCCTGTGTAACCACCACAATCCACTTCACAGTTGAAAACAATTTTGTCACACCATCAAATTACTGCATCAGAATGCTGTTTTGAGCCCTGTGAGACTGATTATCTCACACTTCTTTGAACTGTAAATTTTAGAGCAAGACTACCCATTTTCATATCATGCTGAGAAATCTTTAGATAGAATCCATCAGTCTATAAAAGCATGTTTATAACTAGAGGCAGGCAGGACTTAAATGCAAACATTGTCCTTGTGGTAACAGATTAGATTGTGTCTTTACATTTTGGTATTTCAAAAAATGAAATGAATCCAACACATGGATCCTTTCAATTTCTTAGTGTTGTTTTCCTAAAAGAGTTTTATGCCCAAGTAGAAACTCATTGTGATAATCTTAGAATTCTGGGCGTGAGGGTGGACAGAGCTATCCTTCTTTCAGAAAATATTTCATGGACCTATTTGGCTGCTGGGGACAACTATTGCATGTCGGTGGACTTTCTGAGGATGTGGCAAAGGTTCTGACATGTTAACGGAAGACATTTGCCACTCTGGTTACGCAGAGGTCACACTTTCATTTTTTAATGTCATTTCTGCTAACTATTGGAATTTGTTTGTGTTAACCATAGAATTTAGAGTTCACTGTGGAGTTTTAGAAACAAAGCAATCCCTTCCAAGTTGCTCTGCTGTGCAGTGTTTATGAGAGAAGAGTGGCTGGTACCAAGGACAGTTGATGAAGTTAAGGTAGCTCCAACCCTGTTGTCTAGCCTGTGGTAAAGTGTTCACAGTCTGAGTTTATTCTGTGCCTTTTAAAGCTACCGTGTTTGGGTTCTCTCCTATCTTGGATCTGTGAGAACTCAAGTTTACTTTCTGCTTTTTAAGAAGTTCTTTCTCTCATTTGGGTAGAAGTATTTTTTTTTTCTTTCTTTTTTTAAATACCCAGGGCTTCTTCTGGCTTCTGTGATGGGAGCAGATGAGCAATTCCACTCGGACTCCCTGGACCCCCCAGTTTCCGTGAGACAGGGATCCCCAAGGCCGTGCCCAGGTTTGCGAAGGAGGAAGGATGGCGGTCTCGCGTCCTGCAGTGACTAAGGACTTACTGTTTTAGGGCCTCGATTCTGTCCTCCTCGTTGGGCTTCTCCAGGGCGTCCATCCACTCCTGGAAGAGGTCACAGGAGAGGAGCTTCAGGGGGATTCCTCGGAGGAAGTCCTGGAGGGAGAAAGGGGTGTGTTTGCTGTTGGTGCGGGGCAGTGAGTCTTTCGCCTCCTTGCACCCCGGTTCACCCAGTCCCACCCCCGTGTTTGCTTCCTTTAGGGAGCCTCCTCCAAACCCACACTGTGCTCTGGAACCTCCCAGTAACCAGCACAATAAGATGCACTGTCCATAGGTAGGTGGACTCTGGGGAGACCAGATTTATGAATGGACTTGGCCAGGGGGGCGATCAAGTAATATATATATATATTTTTTTTTTGGTTTTTCGAGACAGGGTTTCTCTGTGTAGCTTTGCGCCTTTCCTGGAACTCACTTGGTAGCCCAGGCTGGCCTCGAATATTTTGAAAGAATTTCCTGCCACCCTTTCTGTTGAAGCCCGGGGCCACTGAAACAGAGGTGCTTATACGAATAATTAAAAAATGTAACTAAGAAAAGACTAAACTCCCAGATCAGCAGGCTTTGCCCGGCAGGGAGCAGTGCCGGGGGCTGGTTTCCTGATGAGTCTGTCAGCGCGCCCCCAACAGGCCGTCTGGCACAAATGCAGCAGACTCACCTTGAAGACCACAGCCAGCAGGTGCACCGGCAGCTGGTTCAGGTTCACTGGGCACCCACAGTTCAGTTCTTCCTTCAGCTCCTTGCGGGCCTTCTCGCTGGCAGCTTTCCTGAATATTCCTTCGGTTGAAGGGCCTTTAAGGCAGAGGATGGTGAGGATGTCCTGCGGGAGCAGAAAGCGTTGCTGCGGTTAATGCGTGGAAACCTATCTATAGGTTCTTGTTACAGGAGAGCCTTCCTTCACAAGCTACTGAGGCCGGTGCTACCAAAGATGCCCCTCATTTTTTTTCTCAGAGGAGGTAAATTGTGAAAGCACTAGTTTTGCACGTTTGAAAATTATTTTGCCCCCCCCCCCCCCCCCGCCCCCATGTTCTCATAGGAACATACATTTCCCACAAACACCCTCTGCTCCCTCTTGGCAGAGCTTCAGAAGTTAAAAACATTCCACCATCTTCGATCCACAAGTCAGAGGACTGAGGGAGGGACTGTTACTCTGAGCATGTCGGTGGATAGCAGCGGGCAGATGGCTTCCCCGCTGCACTGGAAAGTCAGGGCGAGGCTTCAAACGATGAGCTCCATCGTGTTCAGAGTTCCCAAAGGCTTTCAGGTCCCATAGAAAAGGGAAGAAGGTTTATGAGTCAACACACACCTACCTGGATGGGCCTGGGGAGTGTGTCGTTTTCCCCACAGATGATTGACAAGGGTTGATCGAACAGTGACACCTTCAACTCTGGTTCCAATGAACCAGGGAAGTCAGACGAAGGAGAGAGCTTTCTCATGAGAGAGGGCCAGGACAGCACTTTCTTTCTCTTCTTAACTTCTACAGCCAAGGAAACAAGGAGATAAAGAGAAAAGACAACGTTAGTAATAAGGCAAGATCCAGACTAGAACATCGATGGTCTTGGCCACGTCATCCTATCTATAGCATGCCATGTTGAAAAAAAAAAAAAAACAAAAAAAACCCAAAACAATGTTGAAAACTTGAGAAGGCCAAGGGCATAACCCTTAGTCTAGAAAAGTCAACCCCCAAACAACCACACTGTTTCCAGGGCAGCCAGTCCCTAAACATCAACACCAGGGTTCCTCAGAGGCTCCACCTTTCCTGTTTTTACCCTCACAGCTATTAGCTACAGAAAACTAGCAGAATTTAATTGTGTGGGTCAAAACCCACTCATTGTAATGTTTTAACGCATTGTTCCTAATAACTACAGAGAATGTTTCTGCTTAATGGATATTATTTTAACTTATTTCTTTGAATGTGAAAGTTACAAAGAGAGGAAGTGTCTTGCTCAAGATCTTTGAAAGGTTCTGAGCAGGGCTGACTGGTCACCTCCGTTTTAGCACTTAGCCACCACTAGAGGGGGCTACATCACCCAGGGAATCTTGTAGCCACCCAGTCTGGGAGTTTCAGAAGCTAATACATGGTTCTCCAGGAAGGTGGCCACCCGGGCTTGGCGCTTTGCCAAGTATCCGACCCTTCTGGTAACCATAAAACTTGTGTGCAATGGTATCAGAACTCAAAAGTTCCCCCTTTTCTTTTTTTCCCTTCTAATTTTAAAGGCTGTGCTTTCCTAAATAACTGGTTTATGTTTTTACATATTTTGTATCGAAAAGTGGAAGACAGACAAGAACAGTGAGGCTCATCCTGATACTTTGGGAGGGGTGATCAGATCTGATGCACACTGTAATAAAACATGTTATGAAAGAGAATAAGAGTGGATCCTGATCTTACTGAGATCAGCAACAATTGCCCATGAACTCTTAGTGATTGCAGTCTCCACTAAAGAAGGAAGCAAGTGGTGGGAAGAACAGTGTGTGTTTCTCCAGTGTGTGCATGCTTCCATCCTCAGGGTTCACAAGGCCCGAAACTTGCCGGCCTGGTTGGAAACCCCCTGTGGAGCTGGGGGCATAGGCTGCAGACCGTCTTCCCTCCTACAGAACCTGCTGTTCTAGTCAAGGGTTAATGTTCTGCGGTCTCTCAGAATACTTAGAAAACAAATTCCTAGTAAAGTAAAAGCCCTGTGGTTTTGCAAACCGAGATCGCTCGTTAGGCTCACGGAAGAGAGCAGTATGTTTTCAAAACTCACCAATTAGCTGGCAGATGCTGTCTTCACTCTCACATGATGTCAACAGCGGAAGGGCCTTGATATCACCCTGGAAACATATTTAAGTTAAAATAGTGACCTAAGACATGCAGTCTCCCTCCACAAAATGCACTGATAGCCTTTATTCATCTTAAAAATTAAGGCAATTGCATTGACTCTGCATTCTTCTCAGGTCAACATTATTGTGGAAGAGCTTAATCAATGTGTCTAATTTATAATCTGATGTTCACTTTACACTGATAAACAACCCAAACATTCAACAAAAAGAACATTTTCCATCTTCTTACAGTGTAAATCAAGGTAAAAACATTACTTTCTTACCTCTGACTGACATTCAATCAATGTCTCCATGTTATTGGCATTAAGTGTTTTTGACTAAAAGAGAGAAAAATAACATCAGTGAAGGTCTCTTGGGCTCTCGTCTGTGGACAAGATGAATAAGTAAGTGTGAAGGACTCACATACCTCCAGACTGCTTGTCAACTTCATTGGGGTTGGGGCTGACAGTCCAAGGGGGCGTTTCACTAGCAGGCGGCTTCGATTCTGTCCACAATACATCATAAAGGAAAAGAGTTATAAAATAGAATAGCCAGTCAAATGTCAGAGTCAGATTGCCAAAACAACAACAACAACAACAGCGCCCTGAGCGTAGAGCTACTGGATAGAAAAGTTTTAATTTAAAGCCAGCCTCCCACTGAGAGCAGCAGGAGAATCTCATCCAACTTTTCATTTGCATTTATTTTATCCAAATGAAATAAATATTCCTAGGTTTCCATGAAATAAGATAGAAATCACTCTTTCTTACTAAATGATTAAGAACAGCATCTGAGAAAGTTATTCCTAAATTCCTTAAGCCAGATGCCTTTACCACTCAGAAACTTACTTTGTTGTCCGTAATTACATTCTCATCAGGAGAATCTGAGTACAATTATAGCAACTAGCACTTTTTTTTTTTGAGAGCTCATACGTCGTATATTAAATGCTCTGCACTCTCATCTAAACCCAAGTTAGAAAGAAATTTATTTCTAGGATACTAGTTACGGCATACAGAAACCAAATCCAACATTTACAGAATTCCTGGGCCCCCAAATTGCAGCTGTCACATGGCAGGCGAGCATTCTGCGTTCAGAGTCCTTCTAAGACAGACACATGTTTCTCGGCAGAGCTTTCCTTCAGTGACATATAATCTCAGGGATCCAAGACCCACAACCTTCAAGGCAGTTTGTGTTCTGTCCTGTTCATCTACAGTACTTACCCCGGGAGGGTCTTCAGCCAAAGTTCTTTTACCTCCAATGAGCTGTGGAAAACAGGAGACCCAGCATGATAGATACCCTGGCCCTGGGAATCCACCCACAGACGCGACACTGGAGCCCTCAGACTCATGTGCTGTGCGTTATAAGTGGCGGGGGCGGGCAGGTGGAAACTCAGAATATTACCGGGGCCGGAAGGAACATCATGGGCTGTCACACAGAGAACCAGCCAGACACTACACAGCTCTCACTTCCTCATTCCTTTTAGGGCGGCGATGGTTCTTTCCACCCCCCCACCCCCCGTTCCCACCCCATTTCAAAGTAAAAATTTCTATAAACTACTAGGGGTGGAAAACGTGACATAGTGAGCAAAGGAGAAGGTTTTAATGAATGTCAAGGTGGTGCGTGCCAATGAGAAAGTGTGTTATTCTCTGTGTAAACATCATTTTATTTTGGAAAGCGGTCATCTCGCCCCCTCTCTGGTTTGTCTATCCTGTTAGGGTGCTGTATCCCTTTCACCCACCAACCTCCCTGTCCCCCAGGACTAGATATGGATGGTACATCTAAGTGCTGGATGTTGCTATAAAACCAGAGCAGAGGCCAAGGAATGGCTTCCCCTCTTTGAAAAAATGATCACTCTCAAAAGCTACATCAGTTTCTTCGGAGTCAGGGGAACTGCCCACCGAGAATTAGATTTCTTCCTCTAAGTTTATTGGGAAGTACAGTAAGAGGCAGTCATACTCACACAGCTGCGTTCATTTTAGGATCAATGACTTTGAAAAGTGGAGTAAAGGGTTACATGTCTGTCAGTATCATGGCGTCTTTGGGAAGTTTAACAGAAAGAAATGGTTGAAATGCAAATGCTGTAAATTATATTGCACGTAAAAGTGCCCTGCACTCTGTCATCCTCTGTTACATCTCCTGCCTCCTCTTCTTTCTTTGAGACTAAATCACGTCCCATGTGGGCGTCAACTGGCATCACACCTCAGGACTCTGGCTTTGAATGTTTTACCGATAATTTGATGTGCGGCTCTGCAGCATTCCACCCGATTGTCTAAGTTGGTTGTCAGGTTTTGGTGCTGGAGATTGACACCTGCCCCTCAGAACACACTCTGTTTCCAAGCTGCACCCCTAGCCAGGATTACTCTTGGGGTTCCCTAGTGTCAAGGGCACTGCTGCTCTGGAGAAAGCCTTCTCTCCTCACCAGGTAGAAGGCTCTTGGTGATGTGAAAATGGAACCCACTTTCCAAGGGTTTTCACCTTAATTCCATCATCTGCGTTATCACCCAAAGAGACACAGCTCAGCTCTTCTTGAGATGGAAGACTTCAGTGCCTTTGTGTGTGGTTGGTATATTGTGCACCCCAATAAACTTATCTGGGGGTCAGAGAACAGAACAGCCACTATATTAAACATACGTTTAGGCAGTGGTAGCACACGCCTTTAATCCTATCACTTGGGAGGCAGAGATCCATCCGGATCTCTGTGAGTTCAAAACCACACTGGAAACAGCCAGACCAGGTGACACACACCTTTAATCCCAGCACTTGAGATCTTATGTCTTGTTTGGGAAAGACACATGCCTTTAATCCCAGGAAGTGATGGCAGGAAGCAGAAAGGTATATAAGGCGTGAGGACCAGGAACTAGAGGCTTGTTAAGCTTTTAGCTTTTAGCAGCAGTTCAGCTGAGATCCATTAGGATGAGGATTCAGAGGCTTTCAGTCTGAGGAAACAAGATCAACTGAGGAATTGGTGAGGTGAGGTTGAATGGGCCTTGTTCAGTATCTCTGATCTTTCAGCGTTCACCCCAATACGTGGCTCCAGGTTTGTTTTTATTAATAAGACCTTTTATATTCGTGTTACGTTTGTGTAAGCACCGTCCTTGGGGACACCAGCTCTCATTCTTGGCATTGTCATGAACTCTGTGCACAGTTCTGAGGTTAAAATGTGACTTTGCTAAGTCATACTTAACACCTTTGTGTGTGCCACATACTCTGTGGGCTACTTTCAAGTACCTCATTGCGCAGAGTTATCAGCACACTGTGCTGAAATGTGCCTTCTGATCCTGAGTCCCAAGTGTGCCCATGCTTCCTCTCGGGGTAACTCTTCAAGCAGTTCATTTGTGAGCAAAGAAGGCAAGTCGTCTGTACCCAGCTTGTCAATTCCTACAGACAAGTCAGGGGTCCTCATGAGGAACAGTCATCTAGCAGGGAGTCAGATTTAGGACACCATTCTGAAACTTCAGCACCCCCACTTGTCACTTTCACTAATAGTAAGTAAATAAAATACAATCCACACCATCAGGGGTTTGTTGAACTGCAGAAACAGCCACAACTATCAATTTGGGTGGGTATGTACATGTTGTGTGTGTGATGTGTATGTGTGCTCAGGTGGGATTATGGAGGCCACAGTCAGGTTTCTTCCTCTATTTTATCTTACTTTGGGGTCAGAGTCTCTTAGAGTGTTGGCCAATATATCTAGATTGGTTAGCCAGTGAACCCCTTGTGCATCCTCTGCCCATCACTAGGGTTACAGGAGCATGCTGCCATTCTGGCTTTCTCATGGGTGTTGGGGATCTCAACTTAGTTATTCACGCCTGTGTAGGCCAGTACCCACTGAACCGTTTTCCAGACCTCTACACTGGCAAATTTGTGCATATATCTATAACTTTCCATGGACCAACAGTGTCCAACTTTTAGTAATGAAGGGAGGTGTTGAGTTACTAGGACCAAAATATAGCAGTAAGCATGGCAATAGAAAGATTAAGTTGGGACCTCATATTTCTCAAGCAGAAACATGTTGGCTTTGTAGGACCCAGTTGTTGATAATGGAACCCAGAGGTAAGGCGTTCATCAACACTGGTGTCCCTGGAAACTCTAACAGTCAACGTCTAATTAATAGATACATTCGTGTGACTGTGAGAGAACCACCATTGGCAGATGGTCCTGCTGTGGCACTGAAGAACCATTCTGTCGTTGACGGGACACTATCCAAATGCCATGCAGTGGAGCAGAGCTGGAAATAGGGCTGTCTGTGGAAGACAGGCCTGTCCCCTGATTCTGCAAAGCTCACAAGAACATTGATGGCAGTTTTCTTAGCAGTAGAAATATTTGTAAAGAGAGTGTGAAATTTGGAAGTACCCTTGTCTTTATTTTTTTTTTAAGATAAAAAGGTTTGTTTTTATTTTATGTGTGTGGGTGTTTTGCTTTCGTGTATGCATGTGCACCATGTATGTGTGTGCTTGGTGCCCACAGACAGGGTGTCAGGGTCCCTTGAACTTGAGTCACAGATTATTGTAACCCTCCATGTAGATGTGGGGAAATTGAACCCAGATCCTCTACAAGAGCAGCCAAGGCTCTTAACCACTGAGCCATCTCTCCAGCTCCTATCACATTTTTCAAAGATTTAATGATCTGTTTTTTTTTAATTATTATTGTTATTTAATACCTCTCCTTTCTCCAGCCATTTCTTTGAAGAACACACCTGCGCCCTCCTGTATGACAGAATTTTGTCTTCAGTTGATGGGAAGGAACCCAGATGGCTTCTGCAGGGTCAGGTGGGAGAAGAAAACCTCAATGAGAACCACACTTGTAATCATGCTTCTGATTCCAGAACTCTCCTCACTTGCTTCCGGGTTCCAAGCGTCTCTGTCCTCACTGTGGCCAGTCTGCGAGGACTGGAGGCTCTGCTGTGGGGCCCGTGCCTCACACACTGCGGTGTGTGTGTGTGTGTGTGTGTGTGTGTGTGTGTGTGTGTGTGTGTGTGTGTTTTGTGGGGAAGTACTTTCGTTCCTTTTCCAACTTCCAGTCTCAGTGACCACTTCTGCCCAGACTTTGTGAATCATTTATCACGAACCGTTTGCCCTCCTTCCTGGGAAGCACCAGCTTACTGCCTAGTCTTCTTGCTCTGAGCAGAGACCCTTTTCTCCTCTTAGGACCACCTCGGGTTGTGCTTCTCAACCTGTGGGTTGTGTGACCCCTTTGGGGTGGGGGGTGGGTGGGACTAGAACGACCCTTTCACAGGGGTTTCATATGAAATATCCTGAATATCAGATATTTATATTACGGTTCATAATAGTAGCAAAATTATGAAGTGGCAATGAAAAGAATTTTATGGTTGGGGGATCACCAAAACACTAGGGTCTCAGCATTAGGAAGGTTGAGATCCACTTACCTAGGGGCTCAGGGCCCTGCACTCCTTTTCCATAATCTCATCAACAGCTCTCTGCACACATCCCTGCTTTCCCAAAGAGTTCACAGTCTCCTTCAAGACTTCAGCACCACCCCCCTGCCTGGCTCCCTACAAACTGACTGGTAGGTTCATCTTCTAGAAAGTTCAAGTTATGGATGATTTTACAGGGGAAGCCGGCCTCCCTATAAACTCTCCCGCCTCCTCTTGCTGCCTACTATTGTTTACCAAACTCATCTTCCAGTCCCCTGCATCCGATACACTGATATATGAGGTTCACCCCAGCATCTGCCTGGCGGAAACCCCCACCTTGGCCCAGAACCTGAAGTTCCATCCCCTCTGCAAAGGGACTCTTCCCAGCTCTTCCCCCTTGGACAGTCTCTGGAAAGCAGGGAACGGTGGCCACCTTATCCTTATACTCGTCCAGAATAGTGTTTCGCACCCAGGAGTCACAGTGCGCTTCACTGTTTTCCTACTAAGACTTTGAAAAAATGAGAGCATTGTGAGCTCGCTGTGAATTTCCCAAGATTACAAATTCCTGGGGGAAATGATGGCTCAGTTGGTAAAGTGCTTATGGTGTAAGCATGAACACCCCAAAACCCATATGAAAAATCAGGTGAGATGGCGTGTACTTATAATCCCAGAGCCAGGAAGGTGGAGACGGGCCAATTCTTGGGGCCCACCATCAGCTGGCTTAGCCGAATCATCACGTTCCAAGTCAGTGACAGAACTTGTCTCAAAAGCAAGGTGGGGTATAAGTTGAGGAATGACCTCCAGGTTGACCCCTGGCCTCCACATTGCATGTGCCGTTATGTCCACACCAATGAACATGAACACATATACACACACACACATGCACACACACACACAAAGACAATTCCGATGTAGCCTTCCCTCACTGCTTTTGTTTCATGGTGAAAGCTATTTGCATGTTGTAGCAAAGGCTGATGGAGTGGTATCTGGTCAAGATGAAGGCCAGCCTTTGCCCCTTGTCCTTACCATTAACAGTTAACATCTGTGAATAGCCATGTTATAGATCTGATCCTTGACTTTTAAGTAGTGAGCAAGGGGGGCTTGTCACATGTGAGTTTTAGACACCAGAGTCAGTGGCAGGAATTATAGATGTTGGTCTCCGTAATATTCTGTCACAGGGAGAAAAACTCTTATGGGGCTTATCTGGACTCCTTAGTACCAAGTTCAGACTCTCCACTGTCCCAGAGGTGTCCTCATTAGATGAGACAGAGGAGGCCCTAGGAATCAAGACTGAGAATAAGGTCTCAGGTGGTTCGGAAGCAACACAGCCTGGTCATTCTTACGGGTCCTGTAGCCAGGCTCGGTCTTGGTTCTCAGCTTTAAGTGAGACCTTGAGATTCAGGAGGCTGTACTATCTAGCCTCTCAGAGTTTCCTTATATGGTGAATTCTTATCTGCATGTCTCCTAAGAATCTTCTAGGACAATTGATGAGCAGGCAGCGTACAACATGAAGGTTTTCAATAGTCCGATCTGGGCCATAATAAATGAAGTTCACCTCTCTCTCTCCTCTCTCTCTTTCATCCTTGGTAGGAAAAAGGCTGTCCTCCAGCCAGATTTTAACCCCTGTTACCAAACAAGGGTTACTTAAGCTTTTCCGAGGTTTGCAGGACCCCAGAGTTCCTTCAACAGCGCACAGCACATCATCGCTGCGCCTTGCGGAATCGTCCCCACGCCCACAGACGCCCGCGCTTCTGCAGTGCCGGTGCCCATGGTTTAAACTTCCACCTCAGATTGTGCGATAATTAATTTATCTTCCTGTCAGAATATAAAATGGCCTCACTATAAAATAATATTTGAAGAACTCTTTGTATTCAGAAAGCTGGCTTGAAATCCAAGAAGGGCCAGGACAAAATGATCCTTTCAAATTGCCTTTCTTGGTTATTGGGATCCAAATGAAGAATTAGAAATAAAACACCCTGCAAGGGGGTGATTAGGATCTGAGTGGTTGATGCCTCAACTTCCACCCTGCCCCTGCCAGAGCTTCAGTTCACAGCGTGTCCCTTGAAGAGCCAAAGAATCCCCCCTTTAAAAAAAAAAAAATTCTGAGCCCATTTGACCTGAAAAATTGAGCAAAGAAACCACAGTGGCAGAAAGGTTACGACAGCAACCCTGAATACCCATCCTTACAGTGTCATCGGGTAACTTTTTGAAGAAAAACAAAACAAGAAACGCCAGCGAAATTGACAAGTGACCTTTTTTGTTAGTTGCTTACAAACTTCACAGGTGGCATTTGTAAAGATCTGAATGAAAAAATGTGGAAACAAGTTTGGTTAGTCCCTATCTTTTGAAGATGCTTACTGTAGTCTAGTTTGCAGGGTTTTGTTTTTTTATTCTTAGTACTTAATTCTTTTGTCCTGGGGCAGGGGTGGGGAGGGAGGGCAGACCGGGGATGGGGTAGGGAAGGGCTCACCTAGAGGTTTTATCTCACTGTTTAAAGGTTTGCTTATTTACTTATTTACTTATTATTTATTTATTTAGAGACAGAGTCTCAATACATAGTCCTAGCTGTCCTGCAACTCATTATGTAGTTCAGGCTGACCAGGAATTCACCGAGCTCCAACCGCTTCTGCCTTCGGAGTGCTGGGATTAAAGAGGGCCATCACCATGCCCTGCCCCCTACTTAATATTTTAAAAAGTGTTTTATTTTGAATGTATGCTTCCTTTCTTAAGATCTGAGCCTTCCTTAGAAAGCCCAGAACAATGGACTCTGGGTTTGGGTGGCATAGGTGTAACTAAGTTGGTTACTGTGCAGGGAGTCGGGGCTGGTGAGTGTCTCCCACAAGCAGAAAGCCTGGCAAGAAGCCTGATGCGATGGCCCCTGAGGGAAGCAGATGGATAATCCCAGAGCGAGGGCACATGGAGACTGTCTGTGGGAGTCACCCACACACTTAAGTGCTCAGCTCTCTCCTGCCAGGGTCCTCCTGGAATGGCAGACAGGGGCCCGCTACTCCTGGGCTCTTCCCACAGAAACAAGAATCCGAGGATGACTCCTCCTGCCTTTGGGCCATAAAATTGCACAGGAAGCTCTTGAAATTGCTAGGCATAGCTATGTAAACTTATATATCTCTCCTTGGTTTTCAGATGGTGACTGGAAAACCGTGAGCAAATGTAGCCGGACTTCCTTTTCTGCTGCCAGCCCCAGAGACTTATTAATTATGAAAGCTTGGCCTTAGCTTAGGCTTTCCCCACCTAGCTCTTATAATTTAAATTAACCTGTTTTTATCAATCTATGTTCTGTCCTGTGGCTCCGTCACCTCTACTCTGTACTGTGTGCCCTACCTCTTCAGGCTCTCCCTGGCATCCTCATACTGCCAGTCCTGCTTTCTCTGTGTATGATTGGCAGCCCTGCCTTTCTTCTTCCCAGAGTCCTCTCTGTCCCCAGAAGTCCCGCCTAACTTCCTCCTGCCTAACTATTGGCCATTCAGCTCCTTATTAAGCCAATCAGAAGGTGCCTTGGCAAAGACACATCTTCAGTGTACACAAATATTCTGCAATGTCACAAGCTTTCTTGTTGGATCACCAGCCCACAGATAATGACCTGGAGACTTATTGTCAATTACGGAAGTGTGGCCTTAGCTTAGGCTTTTTCCCAACTAACTCTTATAACTTAATTAACTCAGATTTTCTTTAATCTATGTTCTATCACAATGGCTCAGTTACCTCTTTTAGTACAGCACATCCGACTTGCTAGCAAAAATCCATGAGGACTAGTCCTCCATCCAGTTTCTCTCTCTCTGCTTGGAAGTCCCACCTGTTCTCTCCTGCCTAGCTATTGGCTGTTCAGCTTTCTGTTACACCAATCACAGCAATACATCTTCATACAGTGTACAAATACCCTACAACAAGCAGATGCCTTTTCTTTTTTAAAAATTGTGCGTGTTTGCTTGCTTGTGTGTGTGTATGTGTGTGTGTGTGTGTGTGTGTGTGTGTGTGTGTGTGTGTGCACGTGCGCGCTCCTGCAGGCCCATGGAGGCCAGAGATTGACATTGTCTGTCTTCACTTGTTCCCCACCTTAATTTTTGAGACATGCTCTCTCTCTCTCTCTCTCTCTCTCTCTCTCTCTCTCTCTCTCTCTCTCTCTCTCTCTTTCTCTCTCTCTCTCTCTCTGTCTCTCTGAATCTGGTGTGTATCAATTTGTCTAGAAGGACTGGTCAACAAGCCCCTGGGGTCCTCAGTGCTGGAGTATATGTGCA